TGATGAATAGTAAAATGTTCTAGCTTTATGGAGGCTTTTTTTTATAGAGCAACAAACTTCTTATCCAGTCTAAATAAAGATCTTCTAAATTAGTGAGAATCCATTTTCTCTCCAGTTACCTGCTTTTAGGTGCCCATTTGAGAGTTATACCAGGGAGTCAAATACTTCTGATTTCAGGCTTTCTTTTTCACAGGAGCTACAATATCCAGAGTCTTATGCAGTGAAAATGTAGTGAGATTACCAAGTGACATCTGCAGGACCCTTACTATTACTGTGACAGTGTCAGACACTGAGTTTCAAAGTTAAATTAATGGACTGGTTCTTATATAGGGCTTTTCTACTCTATCACTCAAAGTGATTTACACAACTTGCTTCATTCACCCAAGAACTGTTTTCTATGCTTTCTCTAAGTAACTGCTTTCTATATAACATTCACACCTATTTATACTCCAATGGATGCATCGGAGAGCAACTTGGGGTTAATATCTTGCCCCAATTTGGAATGCATGGGGATCGAATCACCAATCTTTTGATTAATTCAGTTTTTCAATTCAGGTCAATTTTATTTATACAGCGCCAAATCACAACAACAGTTGCCTCATAGCACTTTATATTGTAAGGTAGACCCTACAATAATACATACAGAGAAAACCCAACAATCATATGACCCTCTATGAGCAAGCACTTTGGCGACAGTGGGAAGGAAAAACTCCCTTTTAACAGGAAGAATCCTCCGGCAGAATCAGGCTCAGGGAGGGGCGACAGGTTGGGGTGAGAGAAGGAAGACAGGATAGAAGACATGCTGTGGAAGAGAGCCAGAGATTAATAACTAATATGATTCAGTTCAGAGAGGTCTATTAACACATAGTGAGTGAGAAAGGTGACTGAAGAAGAAATACTCAATGCATCATGGGAGTCCCCCAGCAGTCTACACCTATTGCAGCATAACTAAGGGCAGTGTTGGGAAGGTTACTTTTAAAATGTATTCCACTACAGATTACAGAATACATGCCCCAAAATGTATTTTGTAATGTATTTCGTTACATTACTCAATGAGAGTAAAGTATTCTAAATACTTTGGATTACTTAATATATTATCATGCTTTATACAACTACATGAATGTACTATTGCTGTGTGATTTATTACTATTACTGAAGGATAGTCACCATACCAATACCAACTAGATTTTTAAACCTTGATATAAAATGAGTAACAGCAGGGTGGACATTAGTAAGGCTGCACTTTTTGCAGTTTTTCGTATTAAAAACTATTCCGCGCGTGTATAAAACAGGTCCGCGGCTCCGAACTGAGGTAAAGGGACTTGTGGCTAATACATTGGGTTGTGTGTCGGGCTCGTAGCCGAAAACTAGCTTTACTTTGTTGTCTGGGTCAACTTTGCTAGC